GCGTGGCGCGGCGCTTTAATCTGCTGCACATACACACAGCGCGCTCGGGGACGCGCTCGCACCTCAGTAAGTCGCGGCTGCCGGTTGTTCCTCACACCTGTAGCTCCGAACCGCGCGTGGTTTGCAACTTCCTTGCGAAACAATGTAAATTCATACTGCAGTCGAATACCTTGCTCAATGGGTCACCAGTCGAAGCGAAGGTAAATGTCTTGAATGTTTGTCTTGAATGGCGCGTAGATAGATGAATAGTTTCCGCTCCTTGCAGCAACTCGCCCGGCGCTACGACAGCGAATATAGACCACAAGGGCGGGGGCTGCCGCAGGAGCCGAACGCGTTGCTGCGTGAATCGAAATATGAAGATTGTGCTATGACGAAGAAAGGTAATCTCTTTTAATCAGCGCGGTTCTAGGAGAGTTGCGGACCAATTTGGAAATATCTCGACTCACTCTTAGTTCGTGGTTTGAAGAACTATCGTGGGGGGGGGGGGTCTCCTAAAGGCAGCGCGTATTGATCGTGCGACCTTCGGGCGACGTTAGGGCGACATCGGCGCAAGCGACGGGGACGGCGACACACGAGCGATCTAGCGCGAACGGCGTCGCGCACCCCAGCTTCGCAGCGTCGAACCGAGCGGACCGTGGCCAACGCTGCGCAGTGCTTGCTGGGCACGCACAACGGGCGTCGCTACGACGAGCCACTTCGTTTTGCGCGCGTGCGCAGTCGGCCGAGTTTGGCTCGCCAAAGGTGCGCGTGCAATGTGCATGCATTTGCGAGGTGGTCACTAACGTGTTTATCATCAATGTTAGGGACTAGCAAAGCATAATGGTTCATTGTGTTTCGCTCGGAGTTGGGTGGTTGCTTAGACCGTGGCCTTGGTCTGCCATGTTGGCGGCCACTGACAGGTGGAAACCCACCAACGTAGCATCGCTGAGGCCATTCAGCCGCTCTTCTTCTTGTATCGCGTGCGCCAGCAGCCTGGCCCACGTCGTCAGCTTCGCCGTCATCGGTTGTAGAGCTAGTAGTCCATTACATGCGGTGACCCTCGAGACAAGTAGATAAGTCTGCTACGGCTTGTTAATCACGGCCATCGACGAGTTTCAGTCGACGACGACCATGAACATTTGAAGCAAATAAATATCTCATTACGCTTTCACTCTATGACATCAAGAAGGACAACCCGATGCTACCACCACCGGGCTCAATCGTGACGGTCGTGCCGACTAAGCTCCGCTTCTACAACGACTGCTTCCAAATCGACAGCAAGCTCCACATGATCGCGACGATCGCGCCACCTTGAAGCCGTAGTCCCCTACTGCCGCTGCTACTGCTGCTAGCTGCGGCTGAAGTCAGGCGCTCCGTACCATGGCTCGATCATTCACGCACTCATTGCATCGCCTGGAGCATTCCACTACACCGTCATAACCGATTCAATAAAGGTCTAGCTACTGTATCAGTCTGCCAGCTCGAGTCATTGGCTGTGGAAATCTACAGCCGACGACGGCGCGCAGACTTTAACTTGCCCCCCCCCAACGCATCAGCCTTGAACTACGCGTCCCCAGGCTTTAGACGGGTCCCCAATACTGAGTCGACTCATTTTTCGCGTTCACACAACTACTGATGGTTTTGATATTTTGGACGCAACGCGCAGGCGACCGGTGCGCCGCAAGTGCGGCGTGCCTAAGTCGCCCGCGTGGGTTGCGTTTGTCGTTTGTATTTACTGTTAACTGAGCTCCCTTCGATGCTGAATGCGGCTTGGCACTGCAATTGAGTTTGCAAAAGGCGCTACCAGCCCAAACCTCTAGTCGAACCCAAACTTACGGTGAAACTAAATGTACTTGTGATTTAAGAGAGAATGGCAATATATGAGACCAAAGTGCCACTACTACCTCTTAATACGTATTGTGAGTAGTACTTGCGTGCTAATATCAAGTTTAAATACCCATTATAATAAATAGCCGGAAAACAATGAAAAAAGCTGGTGATGTTGGTTGTGGCGGCGGCACGGGTAGTATTACAACCCATCACCCACAAAATGTTACTCGAAGCTGATGGGTTTAATAAAATACTATAAAATAACCCACGGTCAAACATTCATTTCAGTGGACGCAATCGAACAGATGGGGTGCTACACGTTGGCGTTCAAGAGAACTTCGGTTTTATCTGTACGATCATATCGAGGCCTTCATTAGTGAGAATACAAATCCAGTTTGGTATGCGCCTGCACAAGTACTATCCAACTTCTAACGCGGTACCTAACTTTGGACGACGAACGGCATAACAACATACAGAAAGCTGTCGGAGCCTTTATTTCGAGAAAGCTTGATTCTGGAGAATGTTTAATGTTTAATGCACCGAAATTAGTGAAGTATGTAACGATTAGCGAGAGACAAAACTAGATCGCTGGCGCTTAAATCGGGAGGGCGTTTCTCAATTGAAAACGTGAAGTGGCTAGATGTACTTGATCGCTGTCGCTTAAAGGCTGTTCAGCTGTTGTCTGAAAAATCAAAAGTGAGGTTCATCTTCATCTTTCGATCGAATGGTCGATAGTAGCGAAAATAAAATATGCATGAAACTTTGGTAACGTTTTACCGTAGGGAATGCATAGTATACTAAGAAGCAATCTATGACTCAAGGTCAACGCTTTTCGAAGCTCATGCCACGTTTGTGAAATGCGCGACTAGATCACAACTCTCTGCTTATATCAAGGTTTTGATAAGCATAACAAGTAGCCTAAAATTAGTTAGTTGAGATGGTAGTAGATTTAAAAGTCTCATACTCCTAATGCGGACCGATGATGGTTGGGAACGCGTCATGCAAAAGCTCAAACACGTCGAAGTGTAGCTTGTAAGTAAGCCTTTCGCAGCATGGTTGAAGTCCGCGAAGCGGAGTTTGTGCCACCTTCATCCTCACCAGTCGTCAATATTGCCACCAAAAGATGCATTCCACAAAGCGGGGTTCGGTTGCCTTTATTTTCTTTCTTATGCAGATCAGATCCAGGATTTGAACATGCTGATTATATGACCGAATCGCAAGACCTGGACCAAACAACCTCAACAGTGGATCATGGCTCAACTTGTGTTCTTGGATATGTTATCAGTTCATCTTTTTGCCCTACTGAGTGCTGGCAATGTGAAAGATATTCATGTGGGCCGACTATTTGGACGAGGAGACATTCTGCAAGGACAAATACTACATAGAAGCCCATCACTGTCTCACTATCACCCCCATAGTCGTTTCTAGAGGTTTTTAGTAAGCTACCACCTGTATCTATATATTATAGCTGCTCGCCAGAGTAAGACCTCAGATGTTGCTCATCCTTATATGTATGTGGTGAGTTACTGCATTCCATTCGTTTATGGAGACTACGTATTCCTCGAAACCAGCGCAGAAACTACAACGTCTGGGCCAAGGCGTCGTGGGCAACGACTACGCTAGACTCAGGTCGTGCTGTAGTATTAGTACGCCAACAACCGAGTATAATGCTTTGACCAAGGCGGCATTGACTTTCATATGTAAGATACTTCGGAGTAAGAGAGTTAATGAGTATCAATACATGAATTGTTCTGTGTCTAGTATTACTTAGTTGTTTCCCTTCCTGTCAGGATGCATGTAAGACTGAAATACTCGAGAAAGACTACGTTGTTAGTCGCTGCCTCAAGTGATGACCCATGGTGCGCCCCCAATGTGCCCTTGCAAGGTCTTCAGGGTGCCATGGATCCGAGGTTGCCTAGCTCCTTCATGGTAGCACACTGGGCTCCACGTGATGTAGTCGATGTAGCCTAACTGTACCATAGTACAGTGAGTCTTGACAGTGTCGGCTGCTCCGTCGCCACCCCCGACACCTCCGCCTCCTTCTTTAGGGCCTCGTCGGCAGCTTCGACGTCTTTAGGCACCTTCGCTTCAGTAGACTCTAGTGCGTGCGCCAGAGCTTCGGCCATTGAGGAAACCTTAGTCGCACAAGGGTCCTCGGCAGCCAGGCTCCGGTGCAGCTTTCATCTCGGTTTGATGCGCTTGATCCACCGACTCCTGCACCCCTGATCCTTTCCTCAGTCTGCTGCGCTTCGCCGGGCTCGCCCACTTCGCCACCTCCGATGCAGGTATCCTTATCCTGGTGCATGGCGAACAGCTGGAAGGTCTTCTCGGCACCGCTGTTAGACGTAACAAACTGCACCACGCCGCTGATCATGTGTCCATTTCCAC